TATATATATATATATCTATGATACGCTCTTTTTTTTTATATGACAATGTAATTGTAGTCTCATGACTCATGTATGAGATTCAAGATAACTTGGATCCAGTTTTAGGGGGAGACGGGCGAACGCAGTGGCGACGGCCATCGAATTAGTTATTTCTAAACTCTCAGTATGTTGAAACGTATTTTAACAATAGAAGCGTTATTTTTATACGTGTACGACGTAGTTGTATATCAAACGAGCTGCGTGGCGTCGTGTGTAATGAGACATCGCGACATGTTACAATACAATACATGTGTGTGAAGAAAGAAAAAAAGAAACATTTTAAAACATTTTGTCGTCGCTGTAAATTCTTGTTAGAAGCAGGGTGATTCAAAAGCGGGGTTTCCGCGCTTGCCGATGAAACACTCTGTATCACGAATAAAAACGAAACCAAATCGAAAGTTCATATTGTTAACGTGTTTTTAGCAATATACTTTGTAATAACGAGTCGAGAGGAAAACGAGAGGAGGAGCGAACTCTCTACGGAGCGTAGATGATAAGAGCGACGCGATATTCTGGAAATATAGCGTAATGACGATCAAAGCTGCTGTACACGTTTCTTCCCAGTAAGCACATTAATAGCAAATTGTCGCCAAATTGACATCAAACTCGCACAGGGGAACGTGCTGCATTGCAAAAGTAATAAAAAAAAAACTAACATTAATAATTGAAAGATCACGTTTGAAATAGATATTCTAGGTCCACTTTGGCCCAAGAAGGTCCTCTGGATTCAAAATTTAAATTGCTCATCTAATGGTTCCCTTCAAACCTTACAACTTTTATTTGAAACATTTTTTGCAAAAATGCTTAAAGGATTTTGTAGGATCCCAAAATTTGACCATCTAGAATTCTAGAATACCTATTTCAAGCGTGATCTTTCAATTATTAACGTTAGTCATTTAGTATCACTTTTATACAATGTAGCAAATTTCCTTGTCAGAGTTGATGACAAATTCAATCAGCAATAAATTCGTGTTTTGTTAGTAAAGCCTGCGTACATAACCAGATAGCAAATTTTGTTATATAACAATGTAATTGTAGTCTCATGTACGAGATTTAAAGTAACTTGAATTCAGTTTTAGAAGGAAACGCAATGACGTCGGCTGGTAAATTATTTCTAAGCTCTGAGTAGATTGGAACGTATTTTAATAATAGAAGCTCTATTTTTACAATTTTTATTTACGTGTTTTGTAACTAAAAACTGAGCAAAGCTTTGATCGGTTCTTGCCATTAATTTGCTGTCAATAAGCTTTGCATGGTTTTGCGACAATTTGTTCTCGTGTTATGTCAGCAGATTTTGTAATATTTACCACCAATTTGCTGACATTGTTGAATATAACAGAATTTGCATTTTTAGTGTCTTCATCGACAAAATCGCAACAAGCGTTTGACAAAATTTATTTTCAACAGACTTGACTGACTTTCTTTTCTTTCTGTCTCACTGATTAAGCTTAGCGGTTTGTCGTTTCCCGCGAGGCTTTCTAAAAGGAATCCTCACCTCGTAGAGTTAAACGAATCGCGGCGCACACTACCCTCGGCTATCCTTATGAGCTTTCGATTTACGGCGGCAGGCGCTTCTGACATTCAAGAAAGAGTCAAAGTGTAATATACCAACGTACCATGTAAATAAATAATAAAACACACTCGAGCGGCTTGAGCGGAGTGACGGCACGGAGCGATCTTTTAAACGAGGATATCAAAGTCGGTATATAATTTCGACGAGTCGCGATTTCGTCGTGATTTGCGATCGTAGCTGAGCCTAATTCGCAATTTTTCATGACCTACTAAGAGGTTTAATTGCCAAATCCACGTCTCTTTTTCATTTAAACGAGATAATAAGGAACATTAATTAGGCTAGTTAATGCTCGCTTCTATCAATGTAGATTAACTTTAATCTTAGTTCAACTTACTCTTCATCCTTTTTTAATTTTTGAAATAAGAAAAAGATGAAGAGTCAGTCAAACCAAGATTAAAATTAAACTACGCTGGTAGAAACGGATATAAATGAAATAATGAGTCGCGAATTAGGCTGGCTGCGTTCGGGAGGCAGCCGATGGATAAAACTTGTCAGTGCAATTTTGACCGCGTCTGGTCTCTCCTTTGAATTAAGATGTGCAATTAAGGTAAAAATAAATGGATTCATTAGCGATTCCGGTCGGGAGAATAGAGGACGGGAAATCCGTCAAGTGTCGTACGATTTTATTGTGTAAGCATTTTCGATTTCACGCGATTATTAAATATTACTCACGCTATCAGAGCGATTACGTTTTACAGTCGTTATCCGATAATAAAACAAGCTGTCCCAGACAACATGCGTGTCTAAAAGACATGTAAAGATATCACAGACGTCTTTTGAGACATACTTGTCGAAAAGATATGTAAGAGAGACACCGTAAAGATATTTTCTAGACATTGCATCTTGTCTGGGTATATATCCATTTCTTGTGCGAGAATGCATAAATCATTGCGTGCGTTATTCGGGTTGAGATCATCTTAGGATATGTTATTCTTACTCTAATGTCGCGATGTAAAATCAAGGGTGATGACCGATCGTCCTCGCGACGCGTAAGTTATAATGTGTTAAGGTAAGTCTGACAATTTCTTTATCTTTGTAGGAGCAATTTTGTAAAACATTTCGTCGAGTTATTAGCAATAAAACAAAATGATTGTGTATCAGGAGTATAAATTTTAAAGCGTTTTATGAAAGGATGTAAATTTTCTCCGTTTATCAACATTTCCTCTCGTGTTATCCGAGACTCTTTAGCAATTCATCATGTCGATCATTTCTGTAGATAAATCGTATATAGTTAATTATTCAATCCAATTTTTTGCAACACCAAAACTAAAAGTACTTATCAATGCGTGATGATAAGACACTATATTGCGTGATAAAATGTAGATGTATTAAGTATTAGAGCGATGATAAAAATAAGGTTGTTTTTCCATTAAGTGTTAAATAAAATTAGAAGATCAAAGTTATTTGATTGCGAGTAAAGAGAATTAACATTTAGTACATATAATTGGGTCATTCGTGTCCTTCATTTTTTTTTTAAAGAATATCAAGTAATTAATTATAATTATAATACATGATTTT